TGCGGGAGGCCTGGAGGGCGGGAGGGGGTGCCCGGCTGCGGGAGGCCTGGGGGGCGGGAGGGGGTGCCCGGCTGCGGGAGGCCTGGGGGGATAGGACACAGTGAGGACCCAAGGCTGAGCTGAGGTTCAGGCTTGCATCCCGAGAGCCGTCAGGGCTGCCACGGGCCCCACGCGTGGACTGGGGCACGTGTGTCCATGAGAATATTGTGTACGGGGGGGCGTTGGGGTCAGGCTGAAACAGTTTTCTGCCAAAATCTTAAAGTAGTGAAATCTCTTCCTGTGGCCTCAGGTGTGGGGTTCTGGGCAACATGTGGCTGGGGTGTGACGGACAGAAGTGCAGCGGTCCGTCCACGGCGCTGAGTGACGGCCGTGCGCTCTGTCCCAGACGGCCTGAGGGTGCGCGAGGATGAGGACAACCACGTCGTCGTCCAGTCAGCCCGGGACGCACTCAAGCTCATCCGAAACAAGTTCCTGCCGGCCGCGTGCTCCTGGGTACAGGTGAGGCCCGTGTCCGCCACACACACGTGCTTGGGTGCGGGCACGGCGAGCGCCGTGCCGGGGTGACCCTCGGGGTGGCCAGGGAGGGTGCCCTGGCCTGCCTGAGTCACGCCTCCCCGTTTGTTGTCAGCTGTTCACCCGCGCAGGGGTCCACGGCGGGCACTTAGAGGCTGCCATCAACCTGAAGGCGGAACTGGAAACCGCGCTGAGGAGGTCTGGGGAGCTGGACCTCCAGCCTGAGGAGGGGCGCAGGGGGGAGGTGAGTGCCGCCTGCGGGCTGGGGCAGAGGTCCCGGCGAAGTCTCTTCTTTGGTCTGTGCTCAGGTTTCTTTTTTCTTTTTTTTTAAATGTTTTATCTATTTCTGAGAGAGAGAGAGACAGAGCGTGAACAGGGGAGGGTCAGAGAGGGAGATAAAGAATCCGAAACAGGCTCCAGGTTCTGAGCAGTCAGCACAGAGCCCGACGCGGGGCTCGAACCCACGAACCGCAAGATCATGCCCTGAGCCGAAGTCGGACGCTCAACCAACTGAGCCACCCGGGCGCCCCTGTACTCAGGTTTCTGAGCATGAGTGACTGGGGCTCAGAAAATTCCCGTTCCTGCCTCATTGGGTGCTCAGTTCCCAAAACAGGAGCTTTGGCCTGAAAGGTCAGAGGGTACTGCCCAGCTCCCCCTCCCACCCTCCTGGCCCCCGCCCCCGGAGGTCTTAGACAGGGTCTTGGGCAGGAGGGTGGGGCAGGTGAACTGGGGGAGCAGGCAGAAGATTCTAGCTGGGAGAGAGATCCCAAGGCCCTGGAGGAGGAGGAGATGGCCATGGGCGGAGCTGAGGCCCAAGCCGGCCCCAGTGGAGCCTCCTGGGAGCTGGTAACAATCTCCGGGCTTTGGGGTCTCGTTGGTGTATCCAAGGACACACAGCATCAGGACACCTGCAGCGGACAGAGAATTAGGGCTCCACTCCGGGCTCGTGCAGAGGGCAGTGTCCCTAGCCAGGGGGGTGGAGGCCGTGGTACCCCACAGAGGCGCTCTCAGGCCGCCAGGTGGGGTGAACATGTGGCCTGGTGCCTAATTTGGGGAGGGCAGTCAAGGCCGGGTGTGTGCTGGTCGCATGGCACCACACAGGGACCGTGTGGTTTGGGCCGGGGAAGCTGGTGCTCTTGAGAGCCGTGTCTCTAGGCAAAGTCGTGGAGCAGGGACGGCCCACTCTTGGTGACGGGCCCAGGTGAAGTCCGCCAGCCCCTGGGACAGCAGGCCTCAGAGACGGTGACTCCCCGGCTCCCCTCTGGTGGGTCTGGGTCAGGACCTGGAACTTAACGTCCAAGAGGGATTGGAGAGCCGTGTCCTCTGCGGGTGTCCTCAGGGCCAGCAGGGAGAGGCAGCCATAGCCCACCGGTGGGGTCCGCACAGCACTGCCGTCTCAGAACTGAGGAGGCAGCCACTGGGTACTGGGCCCTGAACCTGGGCTATAGCCTGGGAGCCGGACACCAGCATCACCTGTGTCCAAGGGGCCCCGGAGGGAGGAGGGTGGGGTTCTGCGCAGACACAGCTGTTGCCAAAGGAGGCCTTAGGGTGAAAGGAACAGCATTGCCTGGTGGGGAACAGCGAGTCTGGAGCCCCCGAGACCTAGGACAGACAGTGGTGCTGGCGCCTGGTGACCTTGCTCTCTCCAGGGCCACTGGACGCCCACCGGGCCTCCACCCCGAGTGTGGGAGGGGACCAGGAGGGGGCGACCGGCTGGGCATCGGCCCCCAGGGACCGGCAGAGGGCGATCTTGCCTTTCTCCCGCGAAGCTTGAGGAAAGTTACTGACTGGCCCCGAGATCCTAGCCTGGCTCCCATGGGTGCGGCATTCCATGGAGGACCCTGCTCAGTGTGTGCCCTAGGTAAGAAGTTAGTTGTGAAAGAAGCACTTTTTTCATAATGGAAGATTGAGATCTTGGGAAGGTGACGTCTGCTTGTTCCGCACGTGCGGAGAGGTTTCTTTATGAACGTGAGGTGACAGCTGGCCTGAGAGCAGGGAGGGGAGGGGGGGGGCGGGGACTGGCGTGGCTTCCTGGTGCTCCGGGGGCCGCCCCTCTCCTCTGCGGCTTGTCCCAGAGTCCGCCAGGCTGCCTCCTGCTTTCCCTGCGAAGGCGCCCTGGGGGGCTGGAGACTGCACCTCCCAGAGCCGGATGCAGGCCGGCCCCACCCTCGCCTCTGGTTCCAGGCCCCCCAGGGGAGGAGAGGCCGCAGCCTCACAGCCTGGGAGGCCCCAGGGTGCGCCACTGGCTGGCTCAAACCTGAGGGCAGCCCGTGGGCAGCCGGACCTCCTCTCTCCAGCAGACCCCCAGGGACTGCCCAGGGTGCCCTGTGGGTGCTGGGCTGGGGCTGCTCTCCCTCCCCTTGCTCGCGGACCCATTCAGACCCTCACTGATGCAGCCCCCGGCTCTGTCCCCAGGCATCCAAGGGAGCATCTGGTGGGGGTTGTGCCCCAGCAGGTTGGGGGATGGGAGGCCATCAGGCAGAGGCTCCTGCTTCCGTTCTGAAGGCTGGGGGGGAGGGGTTCCGGCGAGGTGCGGGACCTGCCTGGGGGAGGGGTTGTGGGTGTCCTGCAGACAGGAGGCTCAGGATGGCCCCCCAGAGTGGAGCCACGTGGCAAGGTGGCTTCCATGGGAAGGGAATGTCACCGCCTCTGTCAGCCGAAACGACACTTGCCAGACGCTTCTCCACAAACTGCTTTAAAAAAGGCACCGCTCCGAAATCCTTGGAGAGCGTGCTGTCTGCGCCGGCTGGCGCTGGAGATGAAGCGATTGGGGCCGAGCGGCTGAGTGGCAGCGCCCCGCTCAGGTGAGCGCCGCTTCCCAGAATAGCCGCGGCCGTGTATCTGCGCATCTGGCCGCTCTGTGCACGGCGAGCCTCGGGCTAGTTACAAATTAGGAGCGAGCTGCTCTCCGCCCGTTTTCAAGTAAAACGTACAGGGCTTGAAATCACTGGCCTTGGCGTTTCTGCACTTAGCCTGGGCTCGCTGTGGAGACCATGTGCACAGCGGCCCAGCTGGGGACGCTGATTCGGTAGCACGGGTCAGAGGGGTTCAGGGCTATCGAGCGACGTGGGAGAGGTCAGAAGAGACATGGGGCTCCTGGTTGAGCACAGACGCTAGAGACGCGGCGGCGGGAGCCTCTGGCTGCGGGCACCCCTCCCCGGCTCGCCGAAGCCCGCGGGGCACCCTGGGGGGTTCTGTTTGTTTGCCGCTGTCCCAGTTGTTTTCTGCGTTACTGTTGGGTTCTACACGCTGGTTCCCTTTTGATGTAGGGGTTTCATCTTTAAAAAATATTTAAGCCGGGTGTAATACGTGTAAGTGTTTGTTTTATAGAGTGTCTCGTTCTGCGGGAAGCAGGCCGGGGATAAATCGCAAACAGATCAATGTGGAGCATCATCTGGTAGATTTAGTCTCTGGCCCCGCTGCCGTGGGAGACAGAGGTGTAATAACCCGTGGCTGCTACATTTGTTAAACTGATAAAAATCCTTTATAAAGTTTAAAATTGCCTGCGGTTTAATTATGTGGCCAGGATCACCAATTATTCTGTATTGTGTAATTAACACAATATTAATTTCTCACCCACCAATATGTCTGAAAAAACAACTTCGAGCATCAGCATATGGAAAGGATCAGTAGCGTGTTGTTATGAAATGCCCGGGTCACGTTCTTGTTCTCTCCGCTCACCCGTGCAGCCCCACTGCAGTCCTCACTCGTTCTGAAAGCAGGGACGACCCCATGGCTGTCCCCAGCAGACTGGTCTGAGGGAGGAGGTCCCTGACCTGGGGCTCTTACTGCCCTTGGCATTGGACAGATTTTCCGTCCTGCGGGTGCTGGCTTCCTGTAGGTGAAAAGGACGAGCAGGAAACCCAGGGAATGAAATGTTGAACGAGTCAGGCACCCCGGGGAGGCAGGGAAACTAAATCAGCCGGCGGTGGGGACCTTGTGTTCGGCAGGGCCAGTAAACAACCTTCCTGGTGACACGGCTCCCTCCATCACGCTGAAGGCCAAGCCTGCAGCAAGGGGCCGGGGGAGGGGTCTGCATGCCTCTCGCCTCTCTCACCGGACTGGGAAAGCTGGGAAAGCGTGGGAGAGCGGCCGAGGCACCCCCCTGCTCAGGGCCGGCCGCCCCCTGTGGGCCCTTGAGCCCTGGGCACAGCCCCGCAGCGCACACCCCCTCCTCCGAAGCACCTTCAGGTTCACGTATGAGCCCGTGGTTGCACAAGCAAGCTCTCAGGTAGATTATGGTACCGCTCCATTTCACAGATGAGAAGACGGAGTCTGGGGGGATGTGGTGTGAGCTTTGGCCTTGGAGGGCGCCGGCCGCCTGCGGTTTTGCCTGTAAAGGTTGGGCTGAGAAAAGAGGGTGTGCACCAAAGGTTTTCCTGTTCCGGTGTGGATGCGGCTCCTTTGGGCGGTGGGAGCTGTCCTAACCAGCAGGTGTGCACCCCGCCAGGTGTGTCAGGTGGCCTGCTGTGTCCAGCAGTGAGAGCCCCGGTGTGGCGGCCGAGGGGAGGGTGCCCATGTGGGCCAGAGCACAGACTCGAGTAACCCCCCCCGCCTCCCTGTGACCCCCAGCCTCCTCGTGACCCCCCAGCCTCCCCGTGATCCCTCTGCCTCCCCGTGACCCTCTGCCTCCCCGTGACCCCCCCGCCTCCTTGTGATCCCCCAGCCTCCCCTTGACCCCCCGCCTCCCCGTGACCCCCAGCCTCCCCGTGACCCCCCTGCCTCCCCGTGACACCCCACCCTCCTTGTGACCCCCCACCCTCCTTGTGATCCCATCCCCCGGCCTCCCCGTGACCCCCCCGCCTCCCTGTGACCCCCAGCCTCACCCTGGCAACAGACCTCCCAGCGTCTTGACCCACAGCGTGGTTTCTTGTGCCAGCAGCAGGCAGCACGCGGTGCTGGCGCGGTGTCCATGGCGAGGCCTGTTGAGAACCTCATTCCTGCCACGGGTTTGGATCAGACCAGAGAGGGGGCCGTGGTGACGCACAGCGGCACCAGCTCTGTCCTCACCAAGGAGGGGAGCGTGTGCTCTGCGCCCCGGGTGGTGTTGCCAAGGGTCCCGTGTCCTCACTCTTGCCCGGTCTGCCCCACGCCCCGCTGTCCTCTGCCCTGAGCTCGTCCCCAGCAGCTGGAGATGCGCATGAGATATCGGCCTCACTGGGCAATTTGCACGGCCTTCCAGGGAGGGCATTAGCATATAAATAGCAGATGCAATGACGGCCATCACAGCTGAGCACGTTTAATTTTTAGTTTATAAGATAGAATGGGGTTTTAAATGCATGGCCATCAAGCCGCTGAGAGACAAATGCAGGTTGGAGCTCACTTGTCTGACGAGGCCTTACATCATTTTTTTTTTTAAAAAGGGAAACAGACACACATAAAACTGAACAAAAGTGATTTCTTGGGTGAAAAGTAATTGAGATTGCGCACCAAGTTAATTAGATCGCACAAAATTTATTTAACGGTCCCGGCTGCACCTCGGGCGCGTGTTTGGCGGGCAGACCGCGCACAGAGCAGCTCGCTCTTCCTGTCCCTCCTCAAATAATCAGTAACCCCGATACCCCCACTGCTGTACGCTGATTGCATTGTATATTTTAGCTCTTTTATTGCTTGTTTAATTATGATTGTAGAGGCTCATTTTTCTAAATCCTTTTAACTGTGGGTGCGAATCCATTTGTGTAAGACCCACGGCAGGCCCGTGGCCCTCCTCTGCGCCTCCCCGTGGCTGCAGGCAGGCCGTGCCCGGGAGGTGTTCGTCTCCCTGTCCCTTGGGTCTGGCCTCTCCCCCAGGGCGACCCAGTGCGGGAGGTGTCCCAGGGGCCCCAGGGCTCTGTCCGTCTGCCCAGGGACTCCCCGTTAGGGAAGGGGGGGGCACCAGGGTTGGTTTCTCAAGAGTGTTCGTGGGGTGTATGGCAACAGGGAAACTCAGCTCCTGGCAAACGAATAGCTTAGGCACTGACTCCGTTTTGAGGGCCACCCACTTTCATCCAGATGCCTCCTTAGGGCACGACCCCCTTTCCGCGACCTCCTGTCGGGCGCCCCTACTCCACCTCCTGCCCCCAGTGTCTCCCCTTGCCTCACTCAGTGCTGGTTTCTTACCAGTCTGTAACCTTTGACTTTGAGGGGAGGTCCCGTTCCTGGACTGGCTCCCATGGGCTCCTTCCTGCCAGCCTCAGGCTCCCCAGGCCGTGCCGCCTTGCCCACCTCCCGGAGAGGGCTGCCTGGCCTGGCTGGTGGCGGCGTTCTGCTCTCCGAACAGGCGCTTGTGCGAGCAGGTCACACAGGTGTGCCCGCTCTGCGGTGACTCTTCTAGACATGGAGCTCCCTCCTTCTCTGGACACCGGATGTCACTGCCCTTTCCTGATGTGCTCAGGGTCCAACATGCAGGGTCACTTTGCGCCCCGGGGGTTTCAGATGCCAGAGGGAATTCACAAACCCAGAGAAAGTGGAAGCGTTCGAGCCCGGCTTCGGTGTTGGCGGCCAAGTCCTCGTCTGGCTCTGTGTCACTGGCTAGACTGGGCCACCCGCCACCAGCACGCTGGAGTGGGGGCCCTGCCTTCTGCCCGGGGACCTGGCTGTGCGGAGCCAGAGGAGGCAGCCCCTACGGGCCCCCCCATGACCCCCCGGTGTCTCCCCCAGGAGGGATGTGCCGCCCGGCGCGGCCTGGTCAGCGCTCACGTGAGAACAAAGCCAGGGCTCCGTCCTTCTGTGCAGGGACGAACAACTTTAACTGGGGAGAAAGAAGGTATAATTCCTAATAGTTAGCTGAGCAGCTAAATATTTTTTAGGAAATGAAAATTTAATAAAAGTCCCTGGTGAAATTCAAGGGTGTGAGCAATAAGCATAATATTTTATGAAAATGACCCCCATATTTAAAATCTGGCGTATGTGTTATGCATTGTAGCACCCAGTCCACATCTACCTTTTAGAAAATTAAAACACATAAATTCTGTTTAGTGTTTGATACGCGCTGCACTAGCCGGGAACCGTAATGCCCTAAAACCTTGGGCTGCTTTCCACCTTTCATAAATTCCTGGGTAGATTCTATACAAAAATAATTTTCAGGTCCGCGGCTCATTGTTATTCAAACGTGATTGATCGTCGTCATTTGCCCAGCTCGGGAGTTAAGTGCCCCTGTCATTTCCAAAGAGCATAATTGGGACGTTTCACAGGTCAGTGGTGGAGACAGGCTTCCCTTTTGATCAGTGTTAGACTGATAACAAAAATTACAGTTTCCAGTGATTAATGCCTCCCGTGCTTCCCAGATGCACAGCCGTGGGTTGTACCTAAACAAAGTGCATTTGCATCTGATTATGCCCTCCGGGCGCTGGCTCCTGCACGGGCGTCCCGGGCCCGCAGGTGTGGCTGGGCTGGAGCCACCGGGCCCGGCCATGCGGGCGGGCTTTGGCGGCGTCTGTGTGGGGCGAGCACGCGGCCTCCTGCCCTGCGGGTCACCCAGGCTCTCTGTCCCCCGGTCAGGCCTCTGCTGGGCCCCGAGGTGTGCGGTTGAGAGAGGTTTCAGCGGTGAAGGCGTGTGTCACAGGGGTGTTCTTCCCAGGCTGCTGCTTCCGGCCTTCGGAGGCCCAGCAGTCAGCATTCGTGTGACGGGGGCTCCATTCTGGAAGTCTCCTCCACTCGGAGCTCGGACTGAAATCGGCTGTGGCCGTGGTGCAGGGTGTGGCCCCCAAGTGTTCTAGGCTGGGCTGGCCGCCTTCCTTCTGGGGTCTTCTCCCCCACCCCCTGCGCCCCCGCGTCCTGCCCTAGGGCCGGGGGGGGTCCCTGAAAACAGGGTGAGGAGGGGACTGCACAGGGCCAGCCGCAGCAGCCCCCCCTCTTCCCTCCCCCGCCCCCCGCTCTGCTGAGGGGCTGCTGCTCCCGCTGGGCCTGGTGCTGCAGCTGGCGGGAGGGGGGGCACAGGATCCCGGCATCCTGGGAGAGGAGGAGCCCCTTCGCGCAGGCTGGGGTGCGGGGACTCTGTCACGAGTCATTCTTAAGGACAGGCTACTGCAGCAGCTCCCCCCACCCCCGGGGCTGCCCTGAGAGCGGCCGTTGTCTCTCTGGCCTGGCTTGAGCTGGACACCGCCCTCGGCTCAGCCCGCAGCGGGGGGCGGCCTGCCTCTCGCCGGCTGAGAAGTGTCTCACGGGGCCTTGGGAGCACGTCCTCTCCGTGAGGCCTCGAAACTGTGCAAAGGAACCAGGTAGTGGGTTGGCTTTACGTGTGGCTGGACGTGGACCCCGGGTGGCCAGCCAGTGGAGGAGCCACGGAGCTGGCGTGAGCTTGGGAGCCAGGCCTGGAGCTAGGTCTCCACAGAGGAGAGGCGGGGCGAGGAGCCTCCGGGCCCTTCTTACACGCGGGTCTGGGGGGTGTCCCTGCAGATGGCAGCCCCAGCGGACGGGGACGACGACGACGACGACGACTTCATAGAGGTCCCGGAGAAGGAGGGCTACGAAGCCTGCGTGCCCGACCACCTGCGGCCCGAGTGTGGTGAGCGCGGCCGGCTGGGTGGGGTCCGGCATGACCTGTGTCTGGGGTCCTAAGCCCCCCGATTAGGGGAGCCAGCCCTGGTGTGCGCTGCCTGGTGACAGTGCAGATCCATCACCGAAAAGCATGCAGCCCTCCCCTCACGCCCAGGCCTGCCCCGCACCGGGCTCCTGCCGTCCCCGAGTCGGGCAGGCCCCACCGTCTGTGCTGTGGGCACAGGCTGGCTCCTCACGAGGGGCGTCGCTGCTGGGGCACACGCGTGCGGGGAGGGGGCGGGCACCCCCCAGGGCGGAGAGCGAGCACACGCGGATCCCACCCAGTGCACAGTGTTTTGGGTGTGCGACTCGATTCCTGCTTGGGGCAGGGGGACCGGGCGGCGAGACTGCTGCCGCCTCCTCCCCGGTCCCCATGTGGCAGGGTGCCCCTCCCTCCTCCCCGTCCGGACGTGCGGCTGCCGCGTGGCAGAGCAAGGTTGCTCCCAGGAAGTGCAGCCTGGTGGCTCCCTGCCAGCACCACAGGGCGCCGTCCCCTCATGAACCAAATAACAGGATCTGTGCTGGTGCTCGGTGGCCAGTCGTGGGGGGACCACGGCTGTGGCCTGCCACCAAGGAGCTGGCCCTTGGTCTGCCGCTCCCACCGGCCAGCTGGTGACCCTCCCTGGAGTCCTGCTGACCACGGGTGCGGAGGGGACTGGGTGCCCCGGTGCCGCTCACAGGACACTCGACGGGACTGTGCCCCGGCCCTGAGCCCTCAGGCCAGCTCCCGGGCCCCCCGGTGATAAGCTGTTCCCACTGAGGGATCTCTGATCCAGAAAAGTCCGCAGACCTGGAGTGTGCGGCTCCTCCCCTGAGCGCTGCGGGGTTTGCCCTGCCGGAGCAGCTAAGTTGGTGACCCTCCCCTGTGTCCGCCACGTGACACCCGCTTCCTCGGGAGGCCAGCGGGCCCCCCCTTCTCTGTGGAAGGCTTGCGACATTCCGTCTGTCACCTGGACGGTAACACTGGTGTGACGCGGGCCGGGCCAGGTGCTGTCCGTCTGGGTTTGCTGAACCGAGTCCCTTCCCAGGCAGGCTGCGCGGGGCCTGGCCAGCAAAGGACCAGGGCCCTGGGGGTGAGGCCAGGGGGTCCCGCGGCCAGTGAGGGTCCGGGGGAGCTTGGGGCTGGGGAGCGGGGGCGCTCGTGACCCAGGGTCAGCTGCACCCCCGAGACAGCTGTGTCCCCGGGCGGCCCCCACCCCCAGTCGCACCGGGAGGCCTCGCGGGCCCCCAGGGCCCTGGAGGTTCCCAGACAGGCGAGTGCCCGGGCCAGGCAGTTCATAACTCTACTTCATATTCCGTCGCTGTTTTTTCAATTAAACGCAGGTGAGCCCTGCAGTAGATTCGTCTAAATCCACACGGCTGAGGAAGCCGGTGCTTTTTCTTTCTCATTTCTTTCTCTGAATTTTCACCGAGGGGCTTTTATCTTCCCCTTAATCCTACCATTTCTGTCAGGACATAATCTCTTTCTCAAATTTACATTTTAATTACAAGGCCAGCTGAACTAGGTAAAATCAATAATGTCAAGCTCGGCGGCCTAACTCCGCGCGAAGCCGCAGCCTCTCCATTTCCTGCTATCGATTCATCTCTCCCGCCCTGTCCGCCTTAGCGCTTCAGGCAAATGGGTGCCACTCGGGCAATTTAAACAAAAAAGGGGCTTTGGGCATTTTTATGATTCTTTCTAAAAGCAGCCTTGGGAGTAAATGTGAGCCAAGGTCCTGTACTGGAGCCGCGGCTGGGCTGGGCGGGCGCCCCTGGGAGGCGGGCGGCTGCGGCCTCTCCCCCCCCACCCCCATGGGCGCTCCCGGGCCTGCAGGGTGCCGCCTGCTTTTTGGGGTTTTACTTTGAAAGTATGTCAGCGAGATTGATTTTCTACAACAATGTGAAAGTGGTAGTGTTTTTTTTCGTGCCCTGAGTATTTACTCCGCTTTAACACGCTTACCCATCTTTTTAATGGTTTAAAACAACAAATCAATGAAAAATATATTTCATTCTTGTAACTCTTAGGAATTCTCATATCGATCCTTGGGCTGTGATTGTATCCATCTAAATGCCACAGTGCCCACTTATCAGTCTTGCCCCTCCCATCGGTCGCATGCGTGTGGCTTGCTCGCCAGGCTGACGGCGACACACTCAGTGGCCGTTAGCGATACACCTTGTCAACATCCTGCGTCAGGGTGCTGGGGGGCTTTGGGGAGCTGGACTAGGGCATTGTGGTGGTGATGGAGCCTGGTCAGGGTCCCCAGCCTGGGAACGCCTGTCCCGCCCGAGCAGCTCTGTCCTCTGCTCTCAGCCACGGGAGCCCAAGAAAGGGCAGCGGGTGGGCTTGCCAGTCTTGTGGAGCAGGTGTGGGCAGGTGTCCCTGTGAAGGGCCTGTGGCCTCCACGGCCCCTGAGAAACCGGCCGTGTGTGCCGAGAAACTGCACAGCAAGGGGCCTGTCTGCTGACGCCCACGGAGCTGCAGGGGGCTGTCGAGTCCGGCTGAGCCTGCTGCAGAGCCCACGGCCACCTGGGCGGGCACGGCCCCTCCCGGGGGCGCTGGCCCACGAGGCCCTTCCTGGCTCCTTCCCCAGGCCCTGGCTCCCTTGCAGAGCGGCCAGGAGGCACTCCCTGGTGTCCGTCCTCCGTGCCTTCGCTTCCCTTCTGATTTTGTCTCTAAGTCAGTATTCATGAGTCCGTGTGTGTTGGGGGAGCAGCGCAGAGTGGTGTGTTCAGGACCGTCTACACCGCCAGTCTGTCCTCAAGAAGTGTGTGTAGACGGGTGTGCACGCATGTGCACAAAATACCTCATATCTGTGTCAGTTTCTGATGTCTGGGGTCTCTGCTGCCCTTTGCACGTATTTTTTTTTTTTTTTTTTTTAAGTAATTTCTGTGTTCAGCATGAGGCTTGAACTCACAGCCCTGAGGTCGAGTCATATGCTCTACCTACTGATCCAGGCCGACCCACCTCACCTTTTTTTTAATACGTCTCTAGTTTTATAGTTTTTTCAAATGTTTATTTTTGAGAGAGAGGGAGTCACAGACTGAAACAGGCCCCAGGCTCCGAGCTGGCAGTCAGCAAAGAGCCTGACGTGGGGCTCGAACCCACGAACCGCGAGATCATGACCTGAACCGCGAGATCATGACCTGAGCCGAAGTCGGACGCTCAGCCGACTGAGCCGTCCAGGCGCCCCTGCACAGCCTGACAGCGCCGTGCCCCAGGAACGTGGCCTGGGGACGCTGCTCCTGTCCGGGGGCCATGTGCCTGCAAGAGCTTCTCAGACACACTGTCCCACGCGTCCGTGAGTTTGGCCTTTTTGATCTGTCCTGTGAGAGTCGACAAGGCCCTCAGGGCGCCTGGTTGTCAGCGGCCCGCAAGCCCGGGGCCTCCTGCAGAGCAGGGCCTCCTCGCGCCCTCCTTCCCGCGCCCTGATGGCCGCGTGCGTCGGGCGCACCAGTCGGCCTCTCCGCTGACTTGACTCCGTGTCGGGAGTTGTTCCTGCTTCGCCACCTGCACCTGCGCTTGATCTCCAGCTTCTGTGGTTCCCTTTTTTCCACCTTTTATTAGGACGACGCTTCTTCTAGTTTGATAAGCATTTATTAAATATTAACAAAATAGTGAGCACGGTAATTTTTCCGAGGGTGGTCCTCTGCCTGCGCACCGCCCTTGTCACCGCCCACGGACGTCTGTGCGGACCCCCACTCCCCGGGCCAGCCCTGAGGTCCCCGAGGCTTGTACAGAGCCGCTCTCCCCACCCCGCCCGGGGCCCCTCCCCTCCGCTCCGCTCCCAGGACGAATGGCTGCTGCCTCCTCGAGTGTTTTCGAAGCAGACCTTCCTGTGCCCCTGGAAGGGGTGTGGCGTCGCGAGGCGGCCCCTCGTGTGAGCGTATCTCCCTCAGTCTCTGAGGCCTCGCACGCGCCATCCGTCGTCGTGACAGTGCTGACGTCCGTGGGGGGCTTAGGTCTCTCCAGCACCCGCCTCTTCGGAAGTTTTCTGGATCTTTCCGTCCCTGACGTCCTTGGAGCTGTAACTCCAGCAGCTGAGGCTTCTCCTCTCCTTCTCGATGCCCTGCAGCCTTTTTGGTTTTTCTCACATTTTCCAGCAAAATACGGTTGCTTATTTTCTCAAGGGCTTCTCATCCTCCGGTTATTTCCGCGTCCTCCTGGGGTTCGGTAACGAGGTGCGTCTGCTCTCCCCTCCTGGGAACGCCGGCTCCGTGCCCGCCTGCTGCCTGGGGGTGCCCGCCGCCCGCGCGCGTGGCCCGGCCCTCAGCCCCTGAGGCCAGTGCAGCCTGCTCCTCCTCTCGGCCCCTGCCTGGGAGCCGCCTCCCGGCCCGTTCCCTCCTCCCCTGGCAGCTGGCCGTCCTCCCGGAGGGAGCCATGCTCCGCCCGCAGGCCCTCGGCAGGGGGAGTGCTCAGCCCAGGCCCGGGGCTCCCACCGTGACTTGGGGGAGGCGCGCTGTCCTCGAGGCAGAACGCCCCGCTGCCTCCTGCGCAGCCCCGGGACGCCGGCTTGCACGGTGACCGGGGAGTGTGGCCTCCGCACCCAGCGGAGAGGGCGGCAGAGGCCGGAGCGGCCCCGTAACGTTGGGGAGCCCGCTTCCACCCTGCCCCGGGGCCCTGGGGGTGGACGGCGGCCTGCGGAGGCGGGTGGCCCGGCGGCCTCTTTCCTGCCCGCGTCCTGTTGAGGGGTTGGGAGGCGCCAGCGCGGGGGCCTCACCTGGCTGCCGGCAGAGCGGGCGCCCCGTGGACCGCGGCGGTGGGCGGTTGGAGGGTTCGGCGCCAACACGTCAGTCACTGGCGTGCTGTCACCGTGACACGGGGCACGGCGGCCCTGGGGGTGTGTCCGGGGCCACGGGAACTGGGGTGGGGACGACACCTGTCTGTTCCAGGGCTGGAGACAGGCCCTCCCGCACGGGGCTCGCAGGCCCGGAAGAGGACGCGGAGGGATGAGGAGGCACAGGACCCCACCTGTGCTGCCGCCCAGCTGCACGCGCTGCACCGACGCTGGCCCCTGCCCCCGAGCCCCAGGTGACCTGCGGGTGCCCTGCGTCTGCCCAGACCAGCTCCCCAGGGACAGCTGGGGCCTGACGCTGGGCTCGCCCCAGGCCCCGGCGCCCACCCTGGAGCCCAGGCCCGAGTGTGTCTGTGCCTGGGGGGAGTGGAGGACCCGATGGAGAGCCGGATGGCTGTGGTCGGCCCCAGGTGTGCCCAGTCAGTGTGTCCTGTTCTCGTGGCCTCTCCAGGGCACCTGTGGGACCAGAGGAGGCTGGGAAGCTGGCCGCAGAGCGGGCCCGGGCTCCTGTCGTGCCCTTTGGGGTAGACTTGTGCTACTGGGGCCAGGAGCAGCCGCCGGCGGGCAAGATTCTCAAGTGAGTGAGCATGTGCGTGGTGCCCGCAGGCGCCCACTGTCTGCCTGGCCCCGCCGGGGCTCTGGCTCCCTGGCCCTGCGGTCCCTATGGGTGCCGGGAGGGCGTGGGGATGGCCACCACGCGCAGGCTCCAGGGGGCACGGGTACGCGGAGGCCATAGAGCCGTGCGCAGTGGGTGTCTGCACTCTGACTCAAGTGCCCATTGCTGGCCCCCCCGCGTGGTCTGGCGTCACCCCTGGCGTGAGGGATGGGCCACGGGTCCTTCCTGACCTCTTGTGCCCCTTGTCCCGGCCACCCCACCCCCGGCCTGGAGCTCTGACTCCAACCCACACAGGCTAGGCCTGGGGCTCTGCCGGGAGTTTCTGGGAAGCTGCCCCCTGGCTGTGCCGGCTCCACTTTCCTTCTGTGGGGCCACAGGCAGGAAGCGGCACGGTCACATCCACACGTCCCCCAGGAGAGTCCCCACGCCACTGCTGCCGGGCAGGGATCGCCCGTGAGGTCTCTGCTCTGCTGGGCCGCTGGCCTTCGGGTTGAGGCACCTGTGATCGGGTCCCGGAGCCTCTGCGCCGTGCCTTCCTCTGGCTGCCTGGCCCAGGCCTTGCTGGCCGCGCTGTCTGGCGGCCTCCCCGCAGCAGCGCTGAGAGTCTGGTATTGCAGGCGTGAGTCCGAGCACCGCTTCTGGAAGCCCAGCGAGGTGGACGCAGAAGTGGAGAGCGCCGACGCCTCAGAGGCGCTGCAGAGTCGCTACATCACCTTCGCGGGGAAGTTTGAGCCCGTGCAGCACCGGTGCCGGGCCCCGAGGCCCGACGGCCGGCTCTGCGAGCGCCAGGACCGGCTGAAGGTGAGGCCGGGGCAAGGCCGGAGGCAGCACCGGGTCCCCGCCTCCGCTGCCGTCCAGGGAGAGCTTGCTGGTGGCTGTCCTGCGTCGCTTAGCAGGGAGTCGTGCCTGGGGCCGGGACCTGGGGTGCCCTGCACTTGCTTAAGGCCACGTCTCCTGAGCCCACTCCGTACTGAGCCCCCTGGGCAATCGGCAGTCTCTGGACCATGGGCCCCGGCCTCCCCGCTTGGCCACTAACCACCCCCATCCCCCCACCCCCCGCCTTCACAGATGTACCCTGAGGGCTCCTCCTTTTTGGGGCTTGCAAATGAAGGGGCAGCTCTACCCACCATCAGAACCGCTCTTCTTTGCCACAGTGTCCTTTCCACGGGAAGATCGTCCCGAGAGATGACACAGGGCGGCCCCTCCGCCCAGAGGACAGGGCCTGGGAGCAGAGGCAGCAGCAGCAGCAGGCCGGGCGCCCAGGTCGGTCTGAGGGCCGTGTGGGGAGGGCCGGGACCCTCCCCGTGGGGTCAGTGTAGCCACCTGCTGCCTCCAGCGAGGTTGTAACTTGCGGCAGGGAAGCAGCGACATGGGGGTGGTGCTTTCTTGTGGCTGCCACCGGGACACGTGGGCGCAGTCGGCCGGAGAGCGCCGTGTTCTTGGTCAGTTGTCCGGCTTTTGGGTTCAGAGTCACATTTTTAAGGAGATGAAGGATGGAGGCAAGAAGAGTTAATTGTCTGAAGCCCGGGATCTAGAGAGGAGAGCAGCTTGCTTCCTGCCAGACACACGTGCCCACCTGTCCCCGTGCCCGTGTCCCCGTGCCCACCTGTCCCCGTGCCCGTGTCCCCGTGCCCATCTGTCCCCGTGCCCGTGTCCCCTCTGCGGACCTTGTGCTGGCTGCCACACCTCACAACCACTCTCTGCAGCAGGGTGAGCTGCGGGCACGTGCAGATAATGTGCGTCTGGAGTGTCTGGGGAGGCGAGTGGGTCCCAGGCAGGCCCCAGCTCTCAGGCCTCAGGGGAGCTGTGTCTCCACAGAGGCTCCTCCGGACTCCTGGCCCATAGGCTGGATTCAGAACAGTGGACTTGAGCCCCGTAAGCATTGTTTCCGGGACAACCCAGGGACCTTGTCAACCCCCGTGCCAGGCATGCGCCGCCTGCTGGCTGCCGCCTGGCTTCCCAGGGCCCCTGAAGAGCAGGGCCAGGGTGTGTCACTGGAAGTGGCCGTCACTGGGCAGCACGTGGGCCCCTGATCCATGTCTGTTTCTCTGGTTTGTCCAGCCCGGGTCAGGGACTGGGGGCCCTGACAGCCTCGGGCTCTCGCTCTCCTGAGAAAGCCACGTCGCAGACCCGGAGCCCCGATGCAGGGCAGGCGCCCTGAGTTTGCCGTCATTAGTGCAGTCTCTCCCTTCGACAAACGTCAGGTTTCAGGCTGACACCCGGGGCAGCAGACGGCGGCAGGGAGGGGCCCCTGACCTGCTAATCCGCAGGGCGAGGCCTTCCCCAGTGGCTCACGCTCACCAGCAAATTAAGTGCCTATTTTTTGTGTCAGCCCTGAGACTATCTGGTTCTGCAGCCCTCGGTGGCTTGTTAACAACAGGTATCGGGGCTGCGGCCGCGGGCCGGCGCCGGCCAGTCAGATGTGAAATAGCATCGCTTTACTAACTACAGTATTGATCCCCGCCTCCCTCGCACGCGGGGCAATTTTCTTTTCCCTGGCGCTAACCTTGGTGACAATGCGCGCTGAGCTCCAGGGCCCGTCAGCGCACAGGAAGGCCGCGCGGCCCGGGCGTCTATTGATTTTCTTCAAAGGCTTTTAAATTGGTCCTTCATTTTACTGAGATGCTCATTCCGTCTCTGCCGGGCGCCAGCATTTTCCCGTTGTGTTTAAACAATTGCTCCATTCACTGGGCTCCTAAACTGTGGTGCCTTCTTATTACAAGAGATAAACTGTTTAGACAGTTTTCCTTAATCTCGGATTAATCGTTCCTGAATCTGAATTGTGCGGCCCTGTATTCCTTCACTTCAAAAAATCCACTTGGGGAGGCCTGGCCATCTGTCTGTCTGGGGCGCACAGCCCGCCCTCTGACCCAGCCCCAGGGGTTCCCGCGGTGCTCTGTGGGCGCCACCACTGTGGGGGTGCCTGGCGCCCTTCTGCCAGCTGGGAGCGGCGTCTCCAGGTCTGGGCACGGGAGGGGCACTGTGCTGTCCTGCCTCTGCCCGGGATCGCCTTCCTGCTATGGCCTGGCCGGATGGGCCCTTGCACCACCTCAGAGGCCAGGAGCCCCCCCACTGGAGGACATGATGGCTGTCCCCAGTCCTGGCGGGCGAGCGCACTGACCTGGCCGCGTGCAGCTCGGGCCTGGTGAGGCCGGGCTCTGTGGGACCCTGTCCGCCGCTGCCTGTGGGGCCTGGGCCTGGGCCTGGCAGAAGGCACGTGGCAGGAAACGCAGAGCTGTCTGGGTGAGCCGACCCCGGCGTTGCTGAAGCCCGCACCCCGTTCTCTTCGGACCCATTAAAGAGAAAGTTCTGCCTGCACGAAGATGGGCCTGACAGCCATGACGGGGCCCTGGCGGGGCACGGGCCAGCCGGAGGCCTCCTGGGAAGCAGCCTACAGCCGGCACTGCCCCAGCCCCCAGCCTCAGCTGCCCTCCCGCCTGAGGGGTCCGTGGAGGCAGCAGGAGAGGCTTCCGGGCCCTGTGCCAGCCCTTGTGGCCTCTGTGGGCACACACGGTGGTGGGCGCTTGGTTGGGGTTGGGACTTCTCCTAAGTCTCGGTTTCTCTGCAGACTGGCAAGACCCCGAGTTTATGAGAGACGTGGAGGCCGCCACGGGTGTAGACCTTGGCTCATCTGGGTCCAGCGGGAGAGGCAGAGGAAGGAGGCGGCGGCGCGGTGGCCTCACCGACCTGAAGCAGCAGGCCGACACTTCCCGCGCACGCATCGCAAAGAAGGTGTTTGCTAAGTAAGAGCTTTGAGCGGCTTCCCTGCCCCCCACCCTCTGGGTTTGGGGGTGCTGGGGGGCGACTGGACTCCAAGACTCTGGGAAAGCCTGGGGCCCCCAACTCCTGTCTACCACACGTTTCCCCTGTGACCGCCGGGCCCCTGGGTGGGACAGGAACTCCTACCAGCGGGGACGTGGGCAGGCCAGTCAGGAGCAGGGCCTGGAGCCGGTCGCCCTAAGGGTCACGGGTAAGTGCTTCCCGTGGCGGGGGGGGCCTCGCCGACTGCCCAGCCCACACTTGTGTCCCAGCAATGGATGGAGGCCCCAGTGGGGTTGCCAGTCCAGAGCCCCCTGTGTCTCTTCCTTGCCCAGCTGACCGGAAGCGCTGCAGTCAGTGCTCAGGGGCATCCATGTAGTGACTGTGGGCAGGGGAGCTGCTTCTGAGGCTGGTGGGACGGGGGCCCATCTGTGGCCCTGTGGCACACGTCTGGCATGGTTCTCCCGTGGCCCCGCCCTGGGTGCTGTGCTGGTGGCTGGGCGGGGTCTGGGTCTGGCACGTGGCCCTGGGGTGCAGCCTGGCGCTGGCAGGAGTTGGGGTCCTAGGTGCTGCTCTCGGGGCTCAGGGAGCCCACAGGGTTAGTGCCAGGTCAACGCCAGGCTCTCTGTGGTGGGGGGTGGGGGGGTGGGGTGGGGTGTCTGTTTTGTTTTTAATTTTTTTTTTTTTGTCTTTATTTTGAGAGACAGAGACAGAGAGCGATCAGGGGAGGGTCAGAGAGAGAGGGAGACAGAATCTGAAACAGGCNTTGTCTTTATTTTGAGAGACAGAGACAGAGAGCGATCAGGGGAGGGTCAGAGAGAGAGGGAGACAGAATCTGAAACAGGCTCCAGGCTCTGAGCTGTCAGCACAGAGCCCAATGTGGGGCTTGAACCCACAGACTGAGATCATGACCTGAGCTGAAGTCGGACACTTAACCGACTGAGCCCCCCGGGTGCCCCTGGGGAGGGCTGTTTCTGAGCTGCAGGGAGCCTGGGTGGTTGGAGTGTGTCAGCCACCTGGGGCCAGCGCCTCCTCCCAGCCAGCCCGTGGTCGGAGCCCGGAGCCCCAGCCAGACGCCTCGATCACGCCCCGCTCTGCTCTCCCCACAGGGCAGCCGTGCAGAGGGTCGTCACAGCCATGAATCAGATGGACCAGAAGAAGCATGAGAAGTTTGCAAACCAGTTTAACTATGCATTGAATTAGAGGGCCAGACTGGGGCTGTGGTCCCTGGGAGCCTGGAGGTGACGCGGGCCGCTGCGTCTCAGTGGGCCATCCTGCAAAGCCTGTACCTCTCGTGATGTGGCTCAGAGCCGACGGCCCACCTGTGACCCCCAGCCCCCGTTCTCTGGGCCTTTTCCCAGGAAACCCCACACGTGTATGTACACGCTGTGTCCAAGACAAGCATGGGACGCAAACTGCCCACAGCATCGCACTTTGTGTTTCTAGCGCACACGGCGCTGTGGTGACAGTTCTGCGTTAGCTCCTGCGGCCCCCTCGCCCGCCTGTTTAGAAGACAGCTTCGTTGAGAGAGAAGCCACATTCCAGGCGTTCACCTGACAACACGTACAACTTCATGGCATTCAGTGCACGGACAGTGTTGGGCGACCCACGCCACCCAGGTCCAGAACTCTCCGTCCCGCAGAAGAAACCCGTCCCTGCCCGCAGCTGCACACTGGCCTCTCTGGATGTGTCTGTGGCACGTTTCTCGTGAATGCCCCTCGTGTTCGTCTTTGTTCCCTCGGGCCAGAGTCTCTAGGCTTGTTCTGTACGGTAGAATATGCCGGAACTCCATCCCTGTGTGTGGCCCAGTGAGGACACCCCACCCTGCTTATCTGTCCATCACAGACACTGGGGTCGGTCTACACCGCTCGGCCGTTCGGAGCAATGCTTATTGAACGTTTGTGTACAGGTTTTTGTGTGGACGCGTATTGTCCCTTCTTTTGGGTTTGCGCCTAGAGGTGGAACTGCTGGGCACGGGCGCCTCCGTGTCTGACTTTCGGATGAACCGTTCCAACTGTTTCATCAAAGCTGCCGAACCATTTTACTTGCGTTCCCACCCCCGTGTGTGAGGGTTCCGATTTCGTGCCCACACTTGTCCACACTTGTTATTGTCTGTCTGTAATTGGTGTGAGGAGGTATCGTGATTTGTATTTTAATGTGTATTTTCCTAATGCCTAGTGATATCTTTTCATGTGTTTATTGGCCATAGAAATATCTATTCAGATCCTTTGCCCATTTTCAACTGGATTGTTTGAGTTTTCTGGATACTAGACCCATATATTCTGTGCAGATATTTTCTCCCATTCTGTCTTCGCCTCCTCAGAAGCGCCCTGAAAAGCACTAAGTTGTTACTTTTGATGACGTCCAAGATCTGTTTTTTCTTTTGTTTCTCGTGCTTCTGGTGGCCTCTCTAGGCAGCACAGCCTGATTCACGGTTATGATTTACCCCTGTGTTTTCTTCTAAGTGCCCTTATCGTGTTAGCTCTTAAATTCAGGTTGGTTTTGTTTTGGGTTAGTTTTGTATACGGTTTGAGGTAGGGGCCCAACTTCATCCTTTTGTGTGTGGGTTCTAGGTACTCCAGCACCATCTGTTGAAAAGATGATTCTTTCCAACCCACTGAATTACCTTAACGCCTTTGCTGATCATCAGTTGGCCATAATTGTACACGTTTATTTCTGGATTCTCAGTTCTGTTCTGCTGACCTGGGTATCCTCTGCCAGTGCTGCAGTATCTTGATTAATGTAGCTTTGTGGTAAGTTTTGAAATCTCAAAGTGAGTCCTCCAGCTTTGCTCTTTTTCAAGATTGTTTTGGCTGTTCTGGGTCCCTTGCGTTTTCAAATGAATTTTAGGATCGACTTGTTAATTCCTGCCAAGAAAAAAAAAAGAGGGGCGCCTGGGGGGGCTCAGTCGGTTAAGCGTTTGACTTCGGCTCAGGTCATGATCCCACGGTTTGTGGGTTCGGGCCCTGCGTTGGACTCTGTGCTGACAGCTCAGATCCTGGAACTGCTTCAGATTCTGTGTCTCCTCCTCTTTCTGACCCTCCCCTGCTCATGCTGTCTCTCTCTCTCTCCCTCTCAGAAATAAATTAAAAAAAAAAAAATTAAAAAAATAAAATAAGAGGCAGCTGAGAATTTGGTAGAGACTTTGTTGCACGTAGGGATCACCGTGGAAAGTACTGTCCTCTGACCACCAGGTCGTGCGGCTCAGGTATTGTCTCCCGAGCTGTTTGGCTCTTTGCCGGTCTCAGCAGTGTTTTGTCGTTTTCAGTGTACACATTTGGCACTTATTTTGTTAAATGTATTCTTAAGTATTTTCCTCTTTTTATTTTTTTTAAATGTTTTTATTTATTTCTAGGAGAGAGAGAGAGAGAGAGACAGCGTGAGCAGGGGAGGGTCAGAGAGAGGGGGAGTCACAGACTGAAACAGGCTCCAGGCTCCGAGCTGGCAGTCAGCACAGAGCCCGACGTGGGGCTCGAACCCACGAACCGCGAGATCATGACCCAAGCGAAAGTCGGACGCTTAACTGACTAAGCCACCCAGGCGCCCCTATTTTCCTCTTTTTAATGCTTTTGTAAATGTAGCTGTTTTTCTGAATTTCACTTTTTGGGTTCTTTATGATTTACAGAAATGCAACTGAGTTTTGTTATGGTCTTGTAGCCTGAAACGTTGCCCAACTCAGTTAATTCTAATAGATTTGCACATGTGTGTGGATTTCTTAGGATTTTCTCTGCACACAATCATATCATCTGCATATGGAATGCTTCCTTTCCCGTTTGGATGCCTCTCTCTCTTTCTTTTGCCTAACTGCTTTGGCAAATTCGAACCCACCTGTACAGTGTCGAATAGCAGTGGTGAGAGTGGACGTCATCACCTTGTTCCTGGTCCTGGGGAGAAAATCGTCAGTCTCATCCCATGGTGCCGTGTGGACTGTGGGCTTCTGTAGATGCCTTTTGCCAGGCTGAGACAGTTACCTTCTAATTCTACTTTGTTGAGTGTTTTTGTCTTGAAAGAATGTTGAATTCTGTCAGATGTCCATCTCTCTCTCCTGAAAGGATGACGTGGTTTTTGTCCTTTATTCTGTTGGTATGATTTATTACATTAGATGCGTTTTGTATGTTGAACCACTTGGCTTTCTATCCCACTTGGTCACGATACTTCTTTTTATATATTACTGCATTTGGTTGGCTAATATTATGTGATTCCATTGACCTAGTGTGCTAGTACTTTGTTGAGGATTTTCGTGTCTGTATTCATAAGAGATATTAGCGTGTGTTTTTCTTCTTGTGTTGTCTTTGGCTTTCATACCAGAGTACGACTGGCCTCCTTATAGGTTGAGTTGGGAAGCATTCCTTCCTCTTATGTTTTTTTGGAACAGTTTATGAAAGGTTTGGGTTAATTCTTTAAGCATTTGGTAGAATTCACCAGTAAAGTCATTTGGTCCTGGGCTTTTCCTTGTGAGGTGGTTTTTTTTGTTTGTTTGTTTTGGTCTTAATTAACTTTTTATTTTCATTTATTATAGCTTTGTTTAGATTTTCTGTTCTTACTTGAGTCAGTTTTGGTAGTTTCTTCTTCTTCTTCTTTTTAATGTTTATTTTTGCGAGAGAGAGACAGAGCATGAGCATGAGCAGAGGAGGGGCAGAGACAGAAGGAGACACAGAATCCAAAGCAGGTCCAGGCTCTGAACTGTCAACATAGGGCCTGACGAGGGACTCAGACTCATGGACTGTGAGATCATGACCTGAGCTGAAGTCAGACGCTTAACCAACTGAGTCACCCAGGCGCCCTGGTTTTAGTAGTTTCTGTATTTTTAGGAATCTGTCCATTTCATGTAGGTTTTTCATTGTAACTTGTTGATCTCAGTTGTTCATAGTATTCCTTTGTAATCCTTTTTATTTCTGTAAGGTTGGTGGTAGCATCTCTTCTTTCATTCCTGATTTTAGAAAATTGAATATCCTCTCTTGTCTTTGAAATTTTCTTGGCAGTCTAGCTAAAGCTTATCGATTTTACTATCTATTTAAAACCCAACTTTTAAAAAAATTTTCTCTTATTTTTCATTGTTCCATTAATTTCTACTCTAATCTTTATTATTTATTTCGGGTTGCTTTGGGTTGAGTTTTCTCTATTTCTAGTTTCTTAAGACAGATGATTAGTTTATTGATTTGAGGTCTAGCTGCTTTTTTATGTAGCTGTTTACATCTGGAAATTTTCATGTAAGCCCTGCTTTAGCTTCATCATGTAAGTATTGGTATGTTGTGTTTCATCTTTATCTCCAAGTATTTTCTAATTTTTCTTATGATTTTTTTTAGGAGTTGGTTTCATTTCCACATACTTGTTAATTTCCCAAATTTTTTCTGTTATTTGATTTCTGATTTCATTCCATGTAGCCAAAGAACATGATATGTGTGATTTCAGTCCTTTAGAATTTAGAACTTATTTTATATACGTGCTATCCTGGAGAATGTTCCACGTGCATGAGAAACTGGTCTGTTGTTGGAATTGTACAGGGATGTGTTAGGTTGAGTTGGTTCCTAGTGTTGGTCTTGTCTTCTCCTTCCTTGTTGATCTTCAGCCCAGTTGTACCCTCTGTTGAAAGTGGGGTATTGCTGTCTCAACCATTATTGTTGAACTGTCTGTTTCTCCTTTCATTTCTGTCCGTTTTGCTTCATGTGTTTTGGGGCTCTGTTGTTAAGTGCATATATGTTTATGCTGTTATGTCTTCCCAATAGATTGACCTTTTGTAACATGGCCTTCTCTGTCTTAGTAACAGCTTTTGTCTTCAAGTCTCTTGAGTGTGATACCAGCACATCTTCTGGTGGTTTGCATGGTACATCTTCCCTCCTTTTACTTTCATCGTATCTGATTCTACTCCTCATAGGTGGCATGTAGCTGATTGTGGCTTTTCATTTGTTCTGCCAATCTCTGCCACTTGCAGTGCAATATTTAATCCATTTACCTTTAATGTAATTACGATAAAGAAAGATTTACATCTCTCATTTTTCAGCTTTTCTACACGTCTTTTTTTCTCTCTTTTCCCCATTGCCCTTTTCTTGTATGTTGGATGGATGTTCACTTAATTCCCCTGTGTCTTTCACTGGGTGTTTGGTTTTGTTTTCGGGGGAGTTTTGTAGCGGTTGCTCTGGAAGTTCCAGTGAACAACTGAATACGGTCTAGTTTGGATTAATACCAACTTAATTTCAGGAGCGTTTGCTCTAATATAGGTCTGTTCCTCCCAGCTCCTTTGTGCCATCTTTTTGTCGTACAAATTACATCTTTATAGATTGTGAGCCCGTCAACATAGTTTTGTGATTATCACTTTATGCAGCTCTTTTGAATCAGATAGGAAAAGAAAGCATTTACAAACGCATAAATACATACATTTATTCTGGCTGCTACTTGGCTGTGAAATTGCCTTTACCAGAACTCTCTGTTTCTTCTTGTGGATTTGACTAGTGTCTTTCACTTTGGTCTGAAGACTCCCTGCAGTATTTCCTGTAGGAGAGATCTGCTAGCAATGAATTCTCCCCATTTTTGTTTATCTGCAATGCTTTCTTCTTTGCTTTTGAAGAATGGCTTTGCTGGATTTTGAAATCTTGGTAATAGTCTTTCTCTTCTAACACTTTGAGTGTGTCATCTCCCTGCCTTCTGGCATCCATGGTTTCTCACGAGACGTCAGCGTTCATCTTCTAGAAGCCTGTGTACCAACAGGCTGGGGCTCCTCCTGGCTGCTTCCAAGGGACTCCTCGTCTTTGACTTTTGGCAGTTTAACTGTGTCTTTGTATCGTCCTTGATATTTGTTGAGCTCCTTGCATTTAGAGGTTGTTTTCTGTCAAATTGGGGAGGTGTGGGGCCATCACCTCTGCCGCCTCTTTCTTTCTCCTGTCATCCAGCTCCCGTTGTGTGTATGGCAGCGGCTGATGACGGCTCTCTGGGCCCTGAGGCCCCGTTCACTTCTCTTCATGCTTTCTTCTGCTCAGGACAAACCTGTTTCTGCCTTAAGGGTCACAGATTGTTTTGCCAATGAAAATCGAATGTTTGGTTGCTCTAATGAATTCTTCTTTTCACGTATACTTTCCAAGTCCAGAATTTCTATTTGGCTCTTTTGTATAATTTCTGTCTTTTTACCAATAGTCTGTATTTGGTGAAACTCCATTCTCATTTTCATTCTTTACACATGTCTTCCTTTAGTCCTTTGAACGTAT